AATTCGCCATTTAGAGCCACAGAAACGACAATACACAGCAAGTGAGGTAGGTTTACATTTATTTTGAGCTTTAACTCAGACATTTCATGATATAAGTTTACGATGATAAGACTCTTCAATATTCTCCCTTACATTCCTTTATATTTGGAATAAACAACCAGACTCGTCGCTTGTCTGGGCCCCCTGTGCTCTTCTCTGATTTCAGACGCTCGGGTCCATTCGGACGCTCGGGTCCATTCGGACGCTCGGGTCCATTCGGACGCTATTCTCCAATTTCGGAGACCGATTCTGACAAAAGGGTAGTAATACGTCTTAGAAAAAGCTAGGATATGTTTGGAAGTATCGCTAAGTCTTCGTTGAATCTCCATGCATGGGAGAACACGAATTTTCTCAAAATCTATCAATGACAACAGCGACGATATTAATAGCACCATTCATTCCGGTAACTGAAAGATGAATTTTTGTCGTAAACAATTTGTAGAAAACTTCGTCGAAGTCATTCATTTAGAAATGCGAATAAGCAGGCATTTACGATCTTTTACCGGTAAATAAGCGCAGACAGACGTTGTTAACAACAAAATTTCAAAGCTTCGAAATGGGTGTCCTGTGCAAATTCTCTTTCTTGGTATTCACCTGTCATAAATTTGTAACAGATGACTTTTTATGTTTATGTGCATAATTATGTCAGAGAGGGCGCTCGGTGTGACATTGGCATCTTGAAGAGGTTACTAGCAGGAAGCACCGAAAGCGATTACAAACTCTTTGAAGAAAAAAAAAACTTTGCCATGGAATCGGAGGATGGCAACGAACCGGGTGAAGCGACGAAGAATGAAGAACCTGCTAAAAATGGCAGCGAACGGCTAATCACAATCGTGGCGTTTTTCGCATTTGGTTTTATCTTGTACTCCATATATTCACTACTGATTGCCGCCGCGGAAGACATTCTACGTGGCAGCGACATCCCAACTTCGGCGGTGTTATCATGCATTGTCGGACCGTAGGTGTTTATAACTCTCATATTTCCCTACTTTGCTCAGAACATTCCGTACCTGCCACGTGTTATAGTGGTCTTTATACTATACGAAGCAGGATTATTCAGTTTGGTTTACGTGACAGACGTTGGGGCGAAGTTACTTTCTGTTTGTTTGGTATCGTTCGCCTTCGGTGTGGGTGAAATGTCGAGTATTGCCATGACATCGTTCTATAACCCCGTGGTTGTTGGAGTATTTTCGGCTGGTACTGGTGCTGGATTCATAACGGCTCCTTTATACTACACAGGTACATGTAAAATAACGAGTAAACAAGCTACTCTTAAATCCCGACAACCACTCAAGTAAGCTATCTTTAAAATCAAAGTAGTGCTTATTGAAGTCATTTCGGAAAATGTTTATAGGCGCTGGGTCTAAGACGATAAATGAAGTTATATGGCAAGTATTTCACTAAGAGTTTTTCAAATATCAAGAAACGGATAACCGGATAATTGCTCATTTAATTTTGTCTAAGTTAATTCTTAACAGATGATTTAATGTTAGTGCATAAGGACTCCCCAATTTACTCAGCTATGTCATAAAGTTTTAAAGGATTAACCTTTCGGTGATTTTTGTGTGTGTAGAGTCTTGATACAATTTCAAAAACTTAAAGCAAACATCACCATGAAGTCTGTGTATTCTAAGGTTTGCGCGGTTTTCTATTGCTTTCTTGTTGTGAATCATGACGCCTACGCAGTAATAAAAATTCTTTTGATTATCTGTCGTTTCGGTAACGACGATATGCACGCTTTTTCTAAAGGATGATTTTCTAATTTATCGAATTACAAACGCTTTAATACGTTCTTAAAAATTAGGATAGACTTGTATTATTTGATTAACGGCTTACGGCAGGAATTGAACTCTTAAGTTTGATAAAATCAACGGATCAAATCACAGTATTTCATTGAGAGAGAATATGCAAATGAGAATAAATTGCAGCAACATTCGTAAAGGCGGACTTAACTCCGAGACTCTAAGAAGAAAGGTGCAATCCGTTCTAATATTGTAAAAGTAGCATTCATATCTTCTGAGCTGCTTTTTATCGCGTTTAGCGCTAAAAATTAAATGAAACTTCTTTGTGAACAACTCTTCTTTTAGCTAAGGTCACGATACACTACACCTAGAATATTCGTAGTTCAAATCAGGACAAAGGGAGTATAAACAAATTCAGTGATTACTATATGCGGCGAGCCTGAGTGAACTTTCACGTTGTTGTTTAGTGTCTGAAATAGCATTATAAACTCAGCCTAAATTTTTCCCTCACTCTGTGTTTAAATAATACATCGCGGTATAATTCCTGAGGCCAAAAGAAAATTAAAAATTTTCGAAATGAACAACTAGCCGCGGAGAAGCGAAGCTGGAAAGAAAACAATGACATATTAAGGACAAGCTACTTCCCTCAGTACAAGACATGGTGCTGTCTCTAACGAATTTGCTTTGCATGATGCGTTTGACGCTTGTGGTTAACAAGTTACAGGGCAATCATTATATTTTTGGAGCCTTTAAGATAAAAGCACAAAAATTTAGTACCAAAGTTTAAGGGTCAGCTAACGTATATCATTTCTCGTTTTTTTCTTGAATTCTTCCAGCCATGACAACGTGGTTTTGTGTATCTTCGGAGAAAACAACTGTAACTGTAGCATTCCTTGTTGTACTTAATTTGCTCTTCTACGCGTTGATGGAACGAAAACACAATCGGTCGACATCACTGAAATCAGAATGTGACTGCTTTAGTAGTGCACAATATGAGAAAGTCGAGGAAAACGAGGATGAAGGCAAAGAAAAGACTGATCCCTCCCCTCGCCTGTTGACGACAGAAGAGAAACTTCAAGCCATCAAGCAGATCTGTCCCACCATACTTTGCGTAGTAATCTCGTGGATGTCTGAGTTCTTGGTGACACAAGGTGTTATCACGACATATGCATTTCCCAACTCACCGTTCCCTCCAAGGGATCATTACCAGTACTACATCACCTTGTTTTTGCTGGGAGAATTCATCGGTAGATCATATCTGGCCTTGATCTCATTGATCAACCAAGAACTCATTCCAAAAGTAACGGTTCACAAGTTGTGGCTTCTGACTATCATTGAGGTTGGCATTCTGGTGTTTTGCCTTTTCGCAGCCTGGTATCGCTTCCTTCCTGACATAACATATTTGTTGATTATCTCCTTCCTAGCAGGGCTTATAATTGGAATCATGTACGCAAACGTTCTCCAAGTTTTCACTGATTCGTACGAGTTTCCCATGCGCGAATTTGTTTTGGGATTTGTAGCTGTGGCCACGGGTATGGGAATATTAATCGCTGGTTTACTTGGACTTGTCGTCGAACCATTCTTTAGAAAACATTGCATGACGATAACAGATTTATCGCAGTACTGTTTCACGAGAACAGATCCGAATGCAATTTCTAAAATTACTGCCTCGTGTCAGCATTAAAACTCAGTGATGAAGGGTCTAAAAGACCATGCAAATCGAAAGGAACGATAGGAAAAAAAAAGCAATACACTTAAACACTAAGTTGTTGAATGTTCATTACTGTTTTTTTTTTGCTTCAAGATGGCAACATCCTCTCTTAGTCTCTTACGCTTCATTTGACAACTTTTTACCAAAGCAGGAGAGAATAAGGGGAGGGCTCACTGTCTTCCTGAAGAAATAAGGTATAAATAGTGAGATAGGGCGAGGGACTAAAAACTAAAAATAAGCAAATAAAAAAGAGCAAGCGAGTTGATTATGAAGTATGAAGCTTGTTGCGTCTGATACATTCGTCGATGATCGTGCGTTACCTATCGATATTAGGGGCGCACGTAGGCAAGACACTTTACTCTCACAGTGCCTCTCTTCACCCAGGTGTATAAATGGGTACCGACAATTTAATGCTGGGGGGTAACCCTGCGATGGACTGGCATCCCATCCAGGGGGGAGTAGAAATACTCCTAGTCGCTTCATGCTACAGAAACCGGAGTTAAGCACCGGCCTAATGGGCCACTAGGCTCGTAAACAGACTTTACCTTACGTGAAAGGCAAGTGAAGAAGTCAGATGTTGCGACTAAGAAAAAAGTGTGTTATTCACTCGTAAAAATGTGTAAATTTGGGTACTAAGAGCTACAAAAAAAACCCAAAATGGTTAGTAGGATATCATGCTTTCAAGAGGGTGAGTGATATGCACACAGACGGACGGAGATTAAACGACCACTCCACACTCGGGCCGGGAAATACAGACAAAAAGAGCCAGACAAAAACATGGAAAGTGTGTATTAAATAAGTTTTGTTTTAAACATGACTTTTTAAAAGTACGTCTATCATTTCCTGACATTCGATGGAAAGAATGGTAGCCTGGAGTGCCGGCGTATTTTGGGCGCACGAGTGCACATTTTCGTATTAGGCCGCCATCTTAGATTTGGTAACTGTGGAGGATTGGGGCGATGAAAATATTTGCCGAGGGAGGGGAAGGAAAAAATTATTTTTTCCTTCTCCTCCCTCTCCCCCGTTGCCCATTTTTCCACTTAACACCTACTCCCTCGGCAAATATTTCCTCGCCCCAATCCTCCACAGTTACCAAATCTAAGATGGCGGCCTAATACGAAAATGTGCACTCGTGCGCCCAAAATATGCCCGCACTGCAGGCTAAAAGAATGGAAGCCAATGGCCTTGGTCATCATAGAACAAGCCAAGAAGCCTTTGAATAAAATGTCACGTATTCGATAGATTTGCATAACCTTCTTCATGCACGAGGTGCAAACTGTCTTTCTTGGAAATCAAACTCATTTGGATCCGCGAATTTTACTTTAACCTGATGATTGGAAAGGCTCGGTGGCATTGAAAGTCAAACTCTGGTGGAATCTAGAAGAGAAAAAAATTAACAAAAACATTACAAAAAAACAAAACAAAACAAAAAATTATTACCTATTTACTGTTACAGCAGTAATTTTGAACTGACCACAGTATTACCGGCTATTGGTAAGAATCTTTCACGTAATAATGTATTTATATCGCCTATTGTAGCTAAGGAGTATCGAATCATGCTTCTCCCGGGCCACAAGCAGTCTGCATGTGTTTTCTTAGATTTCTCAATGGCTCCTCGAAGCATCTTCTTTCATTGTGATTGGCCAGTGCAATTCCTCTGGTTTTGGTTTACTATACTCAATGAAAAAACATGTTGTACTTTCTACAGGTCATATTTGTAAAACGGTGCGAAGGCTCACCGCTGAGTCATGCTTGTGGCCTCCAGCAGCCAGTTTGGTGACAACAAGGTTTGTCTTCGTGACTTTCAGCAACAAAGCAACCTAACAAAATAACCGAAAAAACGGCAAATACTTCGAAGAAAAAAACTTTAGGAACCATGAAATATTTTGATCCGACGCCTATCTCTGTTTTCTCTCTATTTCGCTTTTAAAGAAGACAGCAAAAGAAGATGGTTCGGCTGCATACAGATTCGAGACGAAAAAACACCTTTGACTGGAAAGGAACCTAATAAGAGATTGTCGCATGCAGAAAGTCTTATTAGGTGACTTCCCAAAATATTGGTTTTCATTCCTCCGCACAAAGAAATCGACGAGCTTTGCAAAATAGTGGTTGGCTAACGTCCCGCAATTCAAATCATTAGGTCGACCGGCCGACTATTGGATACGATCAGGTGAGAGAAAAAGCAGTAATTTCCAGGGAAAAGACCGCCTCATTTTCCTTTGCCTGACTCTCGCCGTTTTTGCGCTCGCTTTTCCGCTTGTTTGCACAGACCAAGAACTAGTTTGGCACAGGGAGGGAAGAGTTAATTTGAAGTGCTCGATAGAAGCGTAAAAGCTGAAGCATACTGTAGCAGCTGGCTTAAACAACTCCACATAAATCAGATTAAGACATCATCAAACTTCAACGGTTTGAAACAGCTGGTATCCTCACCTCACTATGTACATTATTAACAACTTCAAAAATGGACTTCGCTTGCTGAAATGAATTTGACGCCATCACAAACAAGTCTGTGTTCTGAAATAATGAGACCAGAACAAGTTTTCTGATTAGTCATGACATCTCCCTTTTCATGACGGAGGAAATGTAAAACGTTGTATCCACTATAACGGAGACTCACAAAACAAAGAAAAAAAAAAACAAGCAAAAGCAAGCATAATTCAATGCTGGCATAATTCAGGTATCGCCAAGCAGTTCATCACTGTTTTTCCTCAGCTCGAAATGAATAGTCCGGAAAAAAAAAAACTTGAGTGCTTCCAGCGGGAGTTAACCTATATATGAACAAATTGCCAGTTCGTGTAGTCTACGGTTGACCTTTTTAAAGTCATAAGACCAGGTTCATGTGATAAACATTCTGCATACTGCAAGGACCTGAATAACACGAAAAAGGAAATTGCAAATTGTTCCAACGGGAACATTGTTTAGCTAGCTAGAATTTGTTTCAGCATCAGCCTCTAACCTGCGATGCATTCATCTTAGACATGTTACTATACTCCTTGTAGTGAGCGTAGTACATCGGCTGAGGGGTATCCACAGCTTGGAATGGCATGAAACGGCGCTCGTAACGAGTCTGTAATTATAAAATGAACCAAAATATAATGAAAATAGTTATCTGTTTCTAGGAAGTACAATCAATCATATAGATCACACCAACACGGACTTAAAATGTTTCCTTATTTTGCCAACATTTCCTATGGAACTTCAATCAGTACAGGAGTAAAATTGAAAAAAAGTCTCTCTACAAAGAATGGAGATATATTAGGGGTGTATCAACGGATGATAGTAAACAACAAAATTTCCCTTCTTCCGTTTGCCGCTTTTCCAAAACTCGTGCCTTGGCACTACATTGTAGTACGTGTCCGGAGGAACTAATTTAGTCAGGCTTTATGTCACCGCTTTGAACACCTGGCAAAAGTGCCCTGACATTGTTAACCCAAATTGTAACTAAACTGCTCATGGGACAAAGAGTAGAAAGCTACCAATTGTTAAAAAACCAAATCGGACCCTGCATCCTTGGGGCCAGTCCAACACAGAAAAAAAACTTGGCTGTGTTGTATAATCTGTGTACGTGTTGTGTCTCTGAAGCAATTCACGGCCCTAACAAAAGCAGGCTCCACTCGTATGAATTCTTAACTTGAGGTGATAGTGGAAACAACACAGCTCACTGTTTTTTTCTGTGTGCTTGCTTTCAAACAACTATGAAATGGTAATAAATTTTGACTTCTTGGTACATACCTGTTCGGAACCAAATTTATCCGCTGGCTTTCTTGTTTTGTTTTGCATTTCAAATCCTTCAATTGCCTAACAAGAGGTTAAAATTTCAGGAAAAATACGATAGCTTAAGATGGCATGACTATAACTTTATGATATTCAAATATTCAACCCCCATGGTGTAATAGAGGGCTGTGCCAGGAAAAGGGGCCGTAAGGCGAAACCCAAACACTACAACTTGCTCGCAGGCTAAAAAAATCTTCTACAGGCGGCGGTAGACTGGTAACGAGCTTTTATTGAAACTCTTGAAGGCATAGAATGCACTGCATTAGGAGAGAGCATTATTGGGCAATGCGCATAACATAGGACTGAGATTATTATAAAAGACATCGAATTAAAGTCGGTATTGTTACCCTGAGATATCCTTGACATAGATGCCTCATCCCTTGATATAAGTGCCACATTCCTTGGTGTTCCTGTATTGCTTTTTCACTCGCTAACAAAAAAAAAAGAATTCAAGTGTGTTCAGTACACAAAAAGCAACACAGCTCTGTTCCACAGAGCAGTACAGAAGCAGAACACGAATTTACTTTCTGAGGAATTTTTCCCCTTATTCATTGAAATACTAAAAGGAAACCGAGACTTTGAGAGAGGAGCTCTTTCTCAGTATTTCGTCGATTTTTATTAGAGCACAATATAAGTTAAAACAACTACAACAAAACAGAGAAATAAACAAAACAAGAGAAAACAACAACAACAAAAAAACAACCAAAGACAAATTACCAAACTTAAATGCCCTGAGTGGTTATGCCCGAAGGGAAGGGGAGGGGGGGGGGTGAAACTTTACTGTGACTAATTCAGAGAAGTGTACATCATACGGGAACAATTTGCAAAACACTCAGCTCTAACTTACCCTTCTTTTTCTTTTTATTTTTCTTTCCACTCCGACCACTTCTCTGCTCTGAAAAAAATGAAGGAATGTAACTTCTTTGAATTTAAGCCCCTTACTCCCTAATATCAGGATGCATATTCTCCATACTGTTTTCTAACAATTTCCTAAGGTGCTGACAAGGAGAGTTCGTTTAAGAGTTTCTTTAGTTGGTGATCATTTCCTTTATTCTCCTGAACGTTTTGTGTGTTTCAGAGGTGTTGCTGTAAGGAGAAATTAGATGCTGGTCACTCTTACGGTTCAAGGGGTGAAATAGCCGTAGTAGTTGGAATAGCTGCGTACCACAAAGGACAATGAAGACCAACAATTATTATACTTATTACAAAAGGGCTCATGCAAAATTTATTTAACGGGAGGCCTTAACTAAGGACACGGCAATAAATCCTACACACTGCTGAAAGTTTGAAATTAAATGAAAGTTAAAAACAAGTAAGAACACGATTTCTCGTGGAAACCAGCATCTCAAAGCAGTCGTGAATTTTAGCAGACTGTAAACGCTCTATAATTTTGACCATCTGAAAATCTGCAAGGAATGGAGCGTAAATAGTTTACTAGCCTCATTGTAAATTTTACATTTATATAAGCACAAGATTACTTCTAGTTTTATTTTTAGTTTTAAATTACGTAGTGACCTTTTTTCTTGAATTGTAAAGAGCCCGATTAGCCTTATTATTAATTTAATACTAGTAATATTAGTTTTTAGTAGTTCAGCGTTTTCATAGGAATGGAGCGAAGCGCAGCTCGCACAACACTTTGCCTTTTTTTTTATGAAACTCTTCGCTCTTCGATAAACTCCTAATTCGAAAACAACACTTTTCCCGGATTATTTTGGACACTCGATTGAGAATTGGTCTTTATTTCAAGTCTACGTACCAAGTGCGGTCTCTTGAGCCTGCAGTAACTTTTCAGCGCGATTAAGGCACGTCATGTGCCACCCAAACAAGAAGTCTAAGTACCTAAGAAGTCAAAACAATACACCTCAAGCTTCGAATGAAATGAAAACTCCTCATCATGAGTGTTGGGTTATGGTATCTTACCAGAAAACGTAGTGATACTCGTGAGGACCGTATAGTTCCAACTCAAACCCAGACAACAGGTATTGAATCATGATGTTCAGTGTATGGTACAACACCCATGAACCAAAACAAGCAAAGTGTTGACGCTACAAAATATAGAAGACAAAAAAAAAAAAACAGTGTATGAGTTTTTTTTTTTTCGCTTTCTGGCGTTCACAACAAACAAAACGATTCTTGCCTTGAAAGGGCAGCATATTGTTTTCCATCGTCTAATAAACTGTCATTAACGCAATTAACAATCAGCCAATTAACGGAAAAATCGAGGTCGAGGAAATGGCAAAAATGAAAGCAACAAAGCAAACAATTTTTGTTTGTTTTCGACTCAGTTAACAGATCGCTCTCACAGACACTTATTTTCAAAATTTTATAGTCATACCTGAGGCTCTACTTTGATTAACAAATTATGAAGTTGCGCATCTACTTTGTCTGCCTGTAAAAGAAAGAATAGGGTCCTTTCTTAATCTGAATTCCACAATGGCATACCTATTTGTTTTGTGTTAGCTTCCAACAAGTTTTCCCCACGCAAAACTTCAGTTTCACGCCCAAGCATGTAATTTCTAATCTCTTGCACGTAGGCTATTAACGATCGAATGAAGTATTTAGCTCAAGAAGTATAGAAGGTAACCTACTTCATCCTGAAGAGCGGCAAACTCCTCCAAAAGATGTGCCAACTTGTCTCTCTGCCGAGCACGATTGTGGCCGAGAGCATGGATAATGGACTTCACAGGCTGCGAAAATAAAAAACAAACAAACAAACAAACAAACAAGCAAATAATAAGAAATAAAGTCGGGGATTAACAAGTAGTAAGCGTAAGTACTAGTGCTGACAGTGACTGGTAAGTATCACTACGAGCCACTAACATTTGCAGTACATGCAGCCAAGAGAACCAACATGACGTTCTGTTCTTTCCTTTCTGCTATATTAATTTTTTGTTGAGAAGTGCAAGTATGCTTCTGATGACCAAAACAAGAAGGCACAGTAATGGACGTCAGAAAGTTACTTTCGTGGAGACCTAGACTTACCCTGACAGCTCTGTTGATAAAACTATCAGCCAGGTCATTTGCTTTGGGATTGGTACTGAGTGAGGATCTGAGGCGAAAACAAACTAACCAACATAAAGAGCAAATCTCTATAAGAAGGTTCTAAGTGGGCTATTTATTGTGGGCTATTCATTATAACTGAGTAAGGTATTGTGAAGTTTCTGTAGGTCAAATAAGTCCAAAAAGATTGGAACGCTTGTAAACGCTGTCCACGATTAGTCCCAAAAAGACCCAACAAAAAAATTTAAGAAAAAATTCTGTCGGGTTTCCAAATAGTTCAGTATGCTTACTTTTCAGCAATGGAGGGTGGACTGTTAAATGCTCTGATTGCATCTCTGATTGTTTCAGCTCTTCCCAAAAGATTATTGTTGCGCCAAACAAGAAGCTGTACATGAAAGTAGAAACAAAGAATTTCACTTAACAAACGTATTTTGTTTGTGTTCTGTCAGTAACGCGGTGTACGAAGGTTTAGCGAGGCCGAAAATAGGTGACTGACAACTGCAAGCGCAGTCATGGCAGTGAAGCCTGTTGGACAGAAAACCGACAATAACGGGTGACTGTTAAGACCCTCCTCGAAATTCTCCTCTATATAAAATTTCTTACGTCACTTTTGTTATTTTAAATATTTCCATGATTTTTTTTTTGTCAGGCACTTCGAGATAGGAGTAACTAAGAATCTGTGTTTATCCGTGCTTTTGCTTGCTATCAAGTGAAGGTCGTATGGAAAATCTTGCAATCACCCAAGAATACCATAAAATTGACGTAAATATTCAGTATTTTTTTTTGTCAAGGATTTTCATTCTTTGAATAACACAATTCAGAAAAAGAAAGAATAATGCGCACAGATCTTGCAAGAACAGCGCTTCTTATTAAACACGAAGGCGCGCTATATAAGGAAGTCTTCCCTGGGAAGACCTAGGCTCATTTGTCACTCACCGTTGGGTCAAATTCAAATGCTGGTAGACGAATAAAAGGAGCTAACGAGATATCTATTGTTTACTTCCACCAGCATGGTGGCAATGAGGTAACGGGCGAACCACCTACTTCGATCTCAAATTT